AGAACAGACCAAAAAAATACGAATATACTGTAATATATAAATTCAGATCATTTATTCAATGAACATTTAATTTAATTAAACAATTTATTATTATATTTATCAAATTGATGTATCTCTCTCTCTCTCTCTCTCATTCTTTTATTTATATTGAATATTATATTAATAATACAAATTTTATATATGTGATATATTCTTTACTTTTATATATATCATTTTAATCTATCAATTCAGAACAGACAAAAAAAAAATACGAACATACTGTAATACATATTTAGATTTGAACACAAAAATAGATAATAATAATAATAATTTATATTAATCAATCATTCTGACCAATAGTAATAATGTAAAAGATATTTCAAATACTTTAAGTACTTTGAAGTCATTTAATATTTATATATTTACAAAGATTGACGTAGACTAAACGGGTTAAGTTGTTTTAATGAGTTAACCGATGGAAGTAGGGGTAAAATAAGAGAAAGAGATATAAATATATATATATATATATAGAAAGAGAGAAAGATAGATATATCACGGTTCGGAAGAACAAGTTAAGAGTGAAAGTTGACGGCTAAGTTTATACGAAAGGACAGAGATAGGTAGATTCACGCTTTGAAAAGATTTTCCGTGACACGCGTGCGTGCTAGCTAGCTAGCGTGTCAAAAGATATCATTGTCGATAAATAATAATTATTAGATTTTTATTACATAATATTCGGTGTATCCTTTTATATATCGAGAATATATTAATGTAATTTATATATTAATAATTTTATTATATTGTTATAATGAATTACCACCCAATAGATTATTATTTTCTCTCTTTTTCTCTATATTATTACATAAAACCATTTATTAACTTAAGATTATTTGTAGAAATTGTGAAAGTGCGTTTTAGCAATAGTTTCGTATATATATATATATAATTTGTTATTGAAAACAGGTATATGTATTCGAAGCTGACGAGGATCAAGGGGTTGACGATGAAAGGGCTGACAGAGACAAGAGAAAAATTGGTGTAGTTAAATTAGGTGTAACCAATGGCGTGATCAACTTCGTTTTTGGTGTAAGTCATATTATATATTGACATTAAAATGAAATAATAATAATAATAATATTAAATGAAAGAGACCATTAGATATATATGATATATGATATTTGTAGAAATTAGATGCATTCTTAGATGCAAAAACGAGAGCTTTGACTGTATTGGAAGATTCTAACAAAGCTAAAAATGCAGCTTTTGGTATAGACAATACTCAATCAGCAACAGGTCAATTTATTAGCAATCTAATATCTCAGAAGATTAAAGCTGGTACGGCAAGCATTGGTCCAGTTATAAACAGTGCCTCGACATTTATTAATTCTGCTGGAAGTGGATTGACGAGTGCATTCGTTTCGAAATTGGCACCACTCAGTTCTATTGTCAGTGGTCTTAGTAGTTCATCAGGTATAATATATAAATAACAAAACATATATATATATAATTCTTTTTATTATCATTGTGTGTATGGTAATTTGATTTTTTTTTCTGAATGATATAACATTTATATTAGGGTGAAACAAAAGTTTCGTGTTGAAACTGCATAATGGGTTGTTTGTATTCTATTTTTTTTTCTTTTGATTCATTTTAATATAAAAATACGATGATAATTCATTCGAATGAATATTTAGGAAGTTCGAGTGATAGCAACTCCGGGGGTGGATCCAACAACGGTGGTAGTGATGGTGGTTCTTCTGGATCAACAGGTTCCCAATTATTTGGTACCTTACTCTCATCGAAATTAGGAGCTCTTACTAGCTTAAGTGGAAGTAGCTCTGATAGTAGTGGTGGTTCCGATTCTTCTTCCAATGGAGATGGAAATAGTTCTGGTGGATCCGCTGGAGCATCAGCTGGAATTAATCTTGGAGCATTCGCAAATCTGGCAGGGGTAGGATTTTATTAATTGAATGATGCATTATTTTTTTTCTTTTAATTCTTTATCTGTGTGTGTGTGTTTCAGTTTGCAAAGTAATACGAGTACGGATTGTTCTCGAATTTTTTCCAATCAAATCTAAATTTCTTTTTTTATATACGTCTCGTCTATTATTATTTTTTTTTAACAATTTAATTTATCGAGAACTATACGTACTTCTTCTTCTTTTTTTTTCTCTTCTTTTCTATCCGCACAACAAAGATCTTTTTCTTTATTTCTTTCATTTATATTTCTTTTCTAGCACATCTACTGCTCTCTTTTTAGATAATTTTGAAGATGTACTTTGGATTTCTATTCTTTCGTATCACTCTCTCTCTCTCTCACTCTCACTCTCACTCTCTTTCTTGCACTAATCTTTCGATTTATGGTCAAGGTATAAAAGCTAATTAAAAATCTACGAAATGCTAAAGCTTTTAACTTTTGCATAATCATTATATAAACATACTTATTATCGATATTATAAATCAATGACAATGTTTCTTAACTAGTTAACTAATCACGTTGAAAAACCTTTTTTTATCTGGAAACGAAATCGGATTAAACAAAAAAAATAACTAAAAGATCAACTCGTAACGTAGCTTGTTTTTATGATAAAAAAAGTTGCACAAATGCATTGAAACAGTCGATAGCATTCGCGTTGCAACAAAATGCAATAATAATAATAATAATAATAATAGAGAGAGAGCTCTTTATGATTGGATAATAAATAGGGGGTCAAAGATTTATTTATCTTGTGATAATTAACATTATACCTGATGCTTATATTCTACCGCACGAAATGCTAATTTTTTTTTTTATTCATACTATACTGTTTCTTAATAACGATTTAAACATATTTCTAAAACAATATCTAAACATTAATTATAATCTAAACGATAATTAATTATTTATTAAGGAACAATTTTTTATTTTTTTTTATTTTTTTATATATATACCAAATATACAATCAAATATTCATTAATTGGCATTACAACAACAACAACAACAAAAACACGTAATAATTAACATAATCTAACATAGGACAATATTTGTCACAGTAACGCTAAACGAAACAAAGATAAATTACAAAAAAATAGATTGAATTAAAAAAGATAAAGCTCTGTTAACGAGTAACTGAATCTAGTCACCATTCATTATGCATAAACAGTACGACTACCAACCACCAAATCAGGCATAGTAATGGCTTTAATAAACTGGAGTATTGGAAATTTTGGACATTGGACACATCGTTCCAGCCCAGCTACGCTTGACAGGAGATGATCATCCATCCAAATGTGGGACATGCCATAAAAATAAATGAGAGAGAGTGAGAGAGAGTGAGAGAGAACAAAAAACCAATATGCCAAAAAATATTTATAATAATCGCAATCGAAACTAAAAGAAAAAGAAAGAGATAGAGAAGGATAGAGAAAGAAAAAAAAAAAAGAAATTCGCATAAGTGGACGAGAACATGATAGTTCCTATCTCATGTGTTTCATTGACAAATGGATTATCTATTTTTTTTTTGTTTTCATTTCTTATTTTCTAGCTCGGCCGATAAAACGTTAACGAGGACACTATTTTGATCTTCCCCCCCCCCCAAGTATACAGACTTGCAAGTGCAAGTGCAAGTCCCCCAGCCCCACCCCCCCTTCTGCGACGTGTTCTAATTATCGAGAAAATGTATGAAGCAAAAAGAAATGAAAGAAAAAAAATACCAATAAGCAAAGAATGCATTCGCACTCTCTTGCGTTTCGCCTAGGTTTTCTGTATCTGTAAATAATTTTTGTTTTATATTGTAATAGAGAGTATTATTTTTTTTGTTTGTTTTTTTTTTCTTAATTATTATTATTATTATTATTACTACTACCTTTTTAATTAACGATTCAATCATTTATTTAGAATCAACCTAGAATTTGTGTGTTAGGTGATGTAAATATAGTGCATATGTACGATTTGTTACGTATAATGCTTACGACGATGATAATGATAATAATAATGACAATAATGACAACGATGATGGATGGTGATGACGATGATAATGGTGATAGATAAATAATAATGATTATACGAAATAAACTTACTACCATTGTTTTGTGTATCACTTGTGAAGAGATGATTTTTTTAGTAAATTATAAAATCCTTCAACCCCCCCCCACCCCGTTTTAATTTTCCTATCACATAGTTCGTCTATCTTTATCTATCGTAAGATAAAATATATTTGTTTTTATTTCTTTAATAAAAATTTAGAAAAATTAATTCAATCGTATATTACATTAAAATTAAATCTCAAACATATATATGATTGTGTAATTTAATGGAATGAAATTATTTTTTATTGTGCAAAATCATATATATATATAACTGATAATAAATAAAAAAATTCTTTATAATTCTTTTATATAGTTACATCTTTCATCGTAGAAATAAATCGTCACGAACTTAGTCGTGTAAATATGCATGTATATGTATGTATAAACACATAGAGACAGACACACGACACACACATATATAAGCGTAGAAGTAGAGATAATCGAGAGATTTATTAAAAAAAAAAAAAGTAAAAATGATTTAAAGGTCGTTGACTAGTGAAAGTATTCAACAGTTGAACGAAGTAGCAAAGTAAAGTTAAATGATATATAAAGAGATTTCTCATTATATTGAAAACGCATTGTATTTGTTTAGAAGGCTGAAACGACTACGACAACGGAGGAAAACATCCCAATATTTGATAGGCAAAGAGTATCTTTGGAAATACCATCACCGGTATTTGGTTCGGGATTTACTTTGGTCACCAACATAAGTTCGATTCTCAACAGTGTCATTCTCGTAAGTGTTTAGAAATCCGTTCCGATTTTAAATCGATATTTTTTATCTTTAATTACTAATAAGACGAATAATCTAACATTTAAACGAGTTGTTTTTTTTTTTTTTTTAATATGAGAACACCGTTCACTCGATTGCAAAACGGCCCAATGGTCAACGTTGAGGTTAAATAAAAATTGTTACAATGATGCAAGGGAGAAAAAAAAAAAAAAGAATATTCCGAGCGTAGATCATTTGCAATAATTATTATTACCATGTATGAGATACGTTTTAAAAGTTGTATATATTTTTTTTTTGTTTTGTTTTACTTGCAAATATTGTAGAACTTGACTCTTTTTTTTTCTTTTTTTAATTTTGTTGCAATAATTACGAGTAATGTGGGTAACGAGAACTAGTTGTCCTCGATCAAAGTTCTTCGAGATAAAATCTAAGGCTTTTACACGCGAATTAAATCATAATTTTTAAACGAGTAGATAAACTATTTTTCATTTCTTTTTTCTTCCATTTATAAATACGTCAAACGAATTTTTCTATATTCTATAATTTAATTGTTACTTACGTAATTTCCTTTCTAACAATATAATAATCGCGTGGGAATCAAATAATAATATAGGTGTGAATTTATTAATAATAAATTAATTAGATTGAAATGGTTTTTTTTTTTTCAATGAACTTATTATCTTTCACGTTTCAGAATTCAGCCCGTCGAACACAGACACTCTTAGAGATTTTCAAGCCCTTCTTTCGAGGTATCTTCGCTATAAAGGGCTTACCATCGGATAATCCAAAATAATATATGATCTCGAGCATCGAAAAACGTTGGATTTTCGTACGAAAAGATTCTAAATTCGATTTTGCCATAATAGGCCTAATTTAGTCGACTTGATTGAACTATAATTCTGATCGTATCGATCGCATCAATCAAATGTTTCTATTTCCTTTTTTTTTTTTTTTTCTTTTTTATTACATCAAAAACAAGGGATATTATTTGCAACAGGGATTTTTACAATATAGTTATCCAAATATTAATTATAATTAATAGGAGTAATATTTGAATAATAATAATGATGATAGAAATATACGCGTGGGTGAGTTGAAAAGTCTCGAACCTAACGTAGACAAATTTTTTTTTTTCTTATCAAGTTTTGTATAAAGAAATAAAGATTTGTTGTTTTTTTTTCTCGAGGCTCAAAACTTTTCAACCCACTCCCACTCTTAAGATAATATTTATTTATAAACTTGGAGTGTTTAAGTAAATATAAAAAAAAAGAAACCGAGAGGCGAGTTTCCCCAGAATGATGCCATAAAGAGCAAAACTTTGTAAGTTTTGTACAAATTATTACGATGCAATATTTGCTGGTTTTTTGTTGTTATCGTAATAAACGATTTTATAATGTGGAAGCCCACTCACGATCGTTGGAATGTTTTATTTGCTGAATTACACATGTACACGCACATATGATGCACGCACGTATGCACACATATAAATATTCGTCTATAAAAAATATGAGAAATCTTTGGAGAAAGGACGTTATGTTTCTCTCAAATAAAATCGATTTATAATAATATAGGAAGTACGTACAAAAGTATGACAGTAGAGTGGGATTAATATTGTCCACTTTTCTTTTCTGTAAAATCTTTTAGAAATATAATTTAAAGAAGAAATAATAAATTTCCTTTATTCTCGCTTACGAACAAATCCAATTATTATTAACTAGAATAATTAGGATAGTAACATAAGGATATGTAAAGATATGTAAAAATTTCTTTAGAATTATATTTTTATTATTTTCCATTTTTCGCGCTAGTTTAACGTTGTAACTATGCAGATGAAAATTTATACGCGTTAGATTATTATCTGTGGAAATAATAAATTTTTACGAAAGAAACATTTCATCGAAATTGTTTTAACGACGCGAAAAAATAAAACTCGTCAGGTTCGTTCGTAATAATAAAATATACACGTGTCACTCTCGAGTTACACGTAATTATAATATTTATAAATGACAATTTATAGAAAATATAATAATTATCATACGTAGCAATTCATTTGTTCCGCCTTTTAATTAAATTTAATATTTCATTTTTAATATCCAATTATATTATTCGAAATGTTATCTATTATCGAACAATTTTAATTATTAGGTATTAACGTAACGAGAACGTCATCTTTCATCAACGTGTACAATACTTAGTTCGTCGACTTATTGTTAATAAAAAAATAAAAAAAGGAAAGCCATTTCAACGTGCGTAGCACGTCTTTCCAGAGCAAATGGTGTTAACATATATGCACATATGTTGAGATAATGAATATTTCAGTTATCTCGTGACAAGTATTTCTTCGAGTAATAGGTCGTCAAATGTTAAAAAAGAAAAAAATAATAAACGACCAAAGGATCGTTACGAAACGTTAGATATGTATTTTTTTTCTTTCTTCATTTCTTTTTGCTCGAAGAATAAGAAGTGAATGTGTAAACGTAAAAGAGGAGAGAAAAAAAACAATTTGCAAAAATTTAATACGAACTTTAACACCTAGCTTATCCATTTACATATACCCTATTTAAGTAGATAATTTTCTTTAACGAGTTGAGAACAAAGTTTCTTTTATTTTTTTTTATTTTTTTTTTTTTTTCGTTATCGTTTCATCTGCAATTCGTAATTTTATTTTATCTCTCTATTTAAGATAATATAAAAGATCAACGAGAATTCACAATTAAATTCCAATCGAAGATTAATTATTTGCTAAAGTAGGAATCCAGGTCGTGTCCTCGATTTAATCACGCGTTCCAGTTTCTTGAAAATTACGTGTTTTTTTACGTATAAATACTTTATTGAAGATGTCGACGATAAATAAGTCTCTTCTCATGTAACGTGCATCGGTTAATAAGTTAATGTTACGAATATAAATGAAAAGGCGTGGTCCATTGGATTCGATGTTCATTAAATAAAACTCCTGTACGTATGACTTTCCGTGATATTTAATTGTCGTACGGGTTATCATTCGTCAGGCTGATATAAATCTTTATTATATTGTCTCGAAAGTATTTAACAATAAAATTTGTAATATTTTTTATTTTATTTCTTTATTTTTTACCTGTAGAAAGAATTAAGATAATTATTTGATATTGTTGAACATCCTGTATAAATTTACATTATTACAAAATTCGATTATTATATAAGTAAAGTAATGAAATCGAATAGTATTGTTTTAATTTTCTAATAAAATTCATAAATCTTACAATCAGTCAAAAGAATAACAGAGATTTGTCCTAAAAAAAAAAAAAAAAGAAGAAGAAAATAGAATTTCAGTTTCAGAAGACCTTTCGTAAAAAAAATTGTAGTCGACCTTCAATGACTCCGATACGAAATAAATTGGAAGGCAGAGAAAGACTCATCTCGTTAGTATCGTTTCTACCGTTCGACCGGATGCATATACTATTACTCTCGGACTAAATTACTTTTTCACGAGTTTAAAAATAAATTTTCCAAAGAAATTTAACTTCGTCGAATCGAAGGGAAAAAAAATCGAGTAGATCGAACATTTTTATTTCTTTCCATTGTGAAAAAATTCGAAGGTAAGACGACAAAAAAAATAATTCCTTTTTTTTTCATTGAAAATGACTAAATAAAATCTCGTTATTGTTTTTTCTTCTTTTTATGCTTTGAAGAAAGAACAAAATATGTGATTTGTGTCAATTCAAACTTATTTCATTTTAATTTTCACAATATACAGTAAATGTGTACTGAATTTCTTTCACACGTAGAATGATTAAAAAGGTGTTGCAATTTACTAGAATCCGGTAAAAGTTAAAAGCAAGAATGTCATTATGGTCATTCGCGAAACACGGTGGAAAGAAGACACGAAAGAAGTTTCATAACTACGAAGTCCGGTTAAATCTCTGTTATGTAAAGTTTAACCGTTCTATTCTGTAGCTTTTTTTTTTTTTTGTAATTCTTGTTTCAACTAGGACAACATTACTCTCCAGAGATTTTGCATAACGTTAATGATCGTTTAACTTTTATTAGCAATACGTAACATTGTAATTATTTTTCTTTTTCTATTTAAAACTTCGTAGAATTTCGTTAACTATCTCGAATTCGTTTAATTTTTATATAAATATATAAACGAGGAAAAAAACACACACGTTGAAGTATAGTTAACATGTTTCTTTGATTTATGTCACGAATGGTATAATCAATCATGAAATGTATTATTTAAACTAATTATATATAAACGGTACTTTTCTTTTTATTAATGTTTATTTTTCTTTTCTTTCTTTTTTTTTTTTATGAAACATTTGCACGATACTGAAATACGATCAGTTCGAGATTCGAGAATCTAGAGTTAACATCTTTTCGTCTAATATACTTGAACAACGTTTTTTTCTACGTACGAGATTATATATGTCGTTTAAGGTGAGCTGAAATTATAATATTAATTATACTTTTCTCATATACAATATTCTTCTCGTTAATTAATTAGTCGACTAACAAAAAAATGAATTGCAAAAAAATAATAATTAGAGTAAATAAAAGTCATATGGAAATTTAATATGTCAAATTGTTTTCAGTTTTGAGTAAAAGTTCAAAATTCTTCTTTTTCTGTAAAAAAGAAACAAAAATTTCGTAATGCAGTGGGGAACACCTGGTTTGGTTGTTGCATAAAAGTGACGTAAAACAAATACAGCCTTAAGCGACTGTTTTCTAACTGTGTGGTTGTATATACATATATATATGTTTTACAGATTCATCTTAAGAAAAGATAAAACTTCTTCTAAAAGGTCTATTTAAAGAATAATAATAACGAAACGTTTGTTCTTCGAGCAAATCTTATCGTAGTGAAAGTTATGAATCCCTTTTGATGATTACAGACCAAACTAATAACAATCGCGAATTGTTCGTTAATTCCGTAATAGAGAAACTTCTGTGATTAACTAATTGAAATTTTAATCGAAGATATTAAACGTTAATTCATGAACGCGTATTAAAATTATATTTAAAATATAGATGAATTATTACGAAAAAGATATTATTCAAATCGATAATACTTAAATAATATTTTAACACGATATGTAATTAAAAATAATTATTAATTATTATGGGATTTAGTAAGAATGAATTTTGTAATTAATTAATACAATGGTATCTGATATTTAAATACTAAATCAGATTAGAAAAATATTTTCCACGTAATAAGAATATAAAATTGAATTTATTAAAAAGAAAATATTGATTGCATTAAAATTTGACAATAATGATACGAATACACCAATGATTTACGTTCATTAATAAATGTTATATAATTCGATTGAATAATATATTAACGATTGAATTAAGAAAGTAAATATAATATAACACCATAAGTAAGCAATGAAATGACGGGTTTTCTATGTGTTTAAAACACGTGTTATTCTGAGCAATCGAGAGTGAAAGTTAAAGATGGCGAGTTAGGGTCCACGTGGTCGACCAATTTCTGCCATACAGTTGAACGAAAGCAAGGACGTTTGTGAGTATTGTGTGATCCATCGACAGAACGGTAGAAAACTACGATGATCATCATAGTTTAATTAATTATCGAAAGAAAAGTGTTTAAGTGTTATTAATAAAAACAAGAAAAACAAGAACAAATTATAATGAAGTTTTAAGACGAAAGTTACGATCATTCAATCATTCGCGATAAATCGATTGAAATATCAATACGTGTGTACGTGTTTGTATGTGCGTGTGAATGTGTATTATTAAAAAAAAAAATATGCAAACAAACAAACAAGTGCAATTTAACTAATACTTAATATCGATAATCGATTTCGAGTGGAATATTAAAAACAAAATTCATATAATAATCATTAAAATAGAAAAGTATAGGAAATAATCTGTTCTGAATGATTATTAGTTAATATAATGCGTGTGCGTATTTTTCCTAACGATCATATTTATTTCTTTACGATGTTCAACGTTAAGGAAATTGGGTAGAAAGTTTCGTGAACGTATTACGTTAACAAGTATAATTCTAAATTTGTAATGGTAAACCTAATAAGTCTGTTGCACGCATATACCACATTTTTACAACATCGATCGAATAGAGTATGTTTCAACTAAAAGAATTTTCGCGAATATTTCTTCGGAAGTAAAACCATTTAGATAAAATTAATTATGAAAAATTAACTAAAATTGACAGTCATGCGACTTATTTCGTTAAGAATTTTTCGCATTAACTGTTTAACTATTCCGAAAAGTTAGATTAAAATTATTTGCGTAAAGGTGTTTGTTATATTTAAGAAAAATTGTCAATAAACTTTAAGCTCGCAGTTTGGATAAATGGGTTAAATGCAACAATTAACATTGATACTTTTACCATTGCAGATAAATAATCAATATTACTCCTATTTGTTAATTTTTTTTTCAAAGAAAATAAATAATTATATTCTAGTATAAACAATTTCAAACGAAGCATAGTGAATTATTTGATTAAATTCGATTGAACGAAATAATTAATTGATAAGAAAAAAAGAAAAAAGATTCCATAAGAATTACCACTTAAATTTCTAAATATACTCGTACGTAATAATCAAAGTGATACGAATTTTCGACACATTTTACGTAATATAAACAGGATCCAATATCGATTGTTAATCGATTAATTTCGAAACTATCGAAATATATATAAAGAAATGAAATTCGACTCACGCTTTCGATCAAAGACACGTCGTCACGTAGTACCCTAAAGCATAATGAATTGCAATCGAAAACTCGAACCACGATCTACGTTAAAAGTAAACTCGAATTACCGGTTGGTAGTTTATCGTACGGTAACGTTCTAACGGTCAAGAACATCGTCGTATTATTTATCTCTTTTTAAACAAACGTTAGAAAAAAAGAAAGCTAAACGATCTTTGTAGAATAATTGCACGTGTCTACCAATAATAATATATTATGAACGTAACTATCAAGTGTTTGTTGTTCATTGTCAATGGTTTTCTTGGAAAATTAACGAATCGAAAATAAGGTAGGTCAAAATGAGAACACATGTGTTTTGTTTTTTGTTTCCAAAGACGACATAACAAATTTTTTCAATTGAATAAATAAATGATGAAAGAGAACGATGGAATTTCCAAAATCTTCAAAATATCGGAATTTGTCTTCAATCGAATGAATATTATTTGGGTATATACAACGTGGGTTATAGTTAAACGTCATTTAACGAAGTATACATTTCCTTTTCCAGAATCGCATTGGTTTTCATTATCCCCCAACTAGCTCTCACTTTTCTCGTCGTAAAACCTTCTTCTTTCTCTCCCGTGTTAGTCCAATCGAGTTTACGTAATTCACGGATCTTTCTTTTTACCTTTTTCCTTTTTTCTTTTCTTCTGTTTTTTTCTTTCATCATTTTATTATTTTCTTCGTCGGAACTCTCACTTCGAATCGAGCCAAAACCCGTCGCGTACGACAAGTTTCGTTTAAACTTTGTATACTTCCTTTGCGTCAAGTTTTCACCGAACGTTACGATTATATCGAATGTTGTTGGGTGTATGAAAAAAATACATGGGTGCAGTTCGCATGCGATAGAAGTGAAACACACACCTTTAGAAAACTAAACTTCGAAAGAATGAGACACGAATGTTTACACATTTTTATATATACTAATATAAATAAATTATAATAAATTTTGGTGAAATACATCATCAGAGTTATGTGTTTTTTTTATTTTGTTTATTTTGTAAATTTTTCAATTTAATATTTCGTGAACAGGAACTCGATCAAAGTTCATATTAGAATCATTAGAATTTGATCGTAATTTTTTGTAAGAATTTGCGATACTTTTGATAGGACTTTATTAAAAAAATTAAAAGATTTTTTTTTATAGATGTCCTCGTTGTTGAATCACCATTGGATCATCGGCTGGTTTATGTTGTTTTTAATTGGATCACAATTTGTTGAATCTCAGAATTCATATTTAACGCCATACGGAACGTATCGAGATGATTATACAATCGAAACAAACGATCATGTCAAATACAACTTACCGGAAACGTATTACCGATACTCACGTCCTGCTGATAATTCAAATTACGAAAGTCATTTACCAAGAATGAATAATCGTTTAAGTTTACCGATATATTCAACGAGTTACGATTACATAGCACCGTCGCAGGATATCCTGGATCAAAAATTATTACGTCCTAATGAAAATGACGAGAATAATAATAATAATAATAATAATAATAATAATAATTGGATGAATAAAGAGATTATCGATAAAATGAATTTGCTCGAAAGATTTCTGTCGGATGACGAAACGAACGAGGAGAAAGATTTCGAGACGAAAAATTCGATCAATGATAAAATCAATTTGGATTCGATCATGACGGAAGATACTAAGAGAGTCGTTAGGCAAGTTAGTAAACAAAAACCTGGATTTTTTTGGACAATTGCAAAGCTTACTTTTGAGGTAAAATTTATATATTTATATAATTATTGATTTATTAGAAAAATCATAGTAATGATACTACTTTTCGTATTGCATTATTATATGACAAACTTTATGCATGACAACGTGACACAGATGTACACCTGGTTGCCATTCGACAGGGGCACAAATTAAAAAATTTCATTATTTTTTATTCAGACGTTCAACGATACCGTATCGGCGATTAAACAAATAAGTTCAATAGTTAGTAACAGTATCGGACCGGATACTACAACTATTAAATCTACCAGCAGTGATTCGTTGATGGCATCGAGTGAAACATTGAATGATCAAAACGAGACCATAGCTACGACAGAACAAACAACAACTACGAGAACCAATCAGATGCCTGCAATATCAAGGGGTGAATTACAATCGTTAATTGTTAGGAATATCAAAGGATTGATAAGATTATTTAACATCGAATGGCAGGATGCCATTAAAGTAAGATTCCCATTAATTTTTATATCTACATCAACATATATTTTTTATAATATTACTGATACAAGAAAATAATTTATAATTATATTGTTTTCCAGCAATCCGATATCAATGCTAATGAATTTAGAAAGGATCTTGGTAAACAGGTAGGAATATACTTGCAGGACAATCCTAATGCTTATTAAAAAATAAGAAAAAAGTGGACTCGATGATTAGTGTGAAACATAAGTGCGAAGTGAATGAGACTTTGTTTTGGACACAAATTATTTCCAAATGCGTCATAGTTTAATTATAGTTATTTAACGATAAATACAGCCAAAGATCGGTAATAAAAAAGAAGCTAAATATATATAATACGAGTAAAATATTGCAACATTTCCGTACGTATATATACATAATAAAGTAATTTTAGATACTAACAATAGTAATTTAAAAAATAAAAAAGAACGATAATAACAATAATGAATTATTTATGAGTATTCCATTAGTTACGAGTCATATTTCAAAAAGAAAAAGAAAAAAAAAAAAAACAAAATGTCACGTTAACATTGGACAATTTTAAAAATATATCATCAAATAATGACGTAAAATGAAATTCGTAAAAAAATGTATGATAGTAAAACAATAATTTTTTATTTTCTATTGAAAATGATTACAATCTATTCATCTCTCGAACTATAACGCGGGATACTGAAAACGTTTGATATATTCAATTACATAATCGTTGTATTATTCAATTGCATAACTTACATGACCCCACGCACATTATTGCTAATATGTCAAGAGGACATAAATAATTATTATAATGAAAAAAAAAAAAAAAGAGATAGAAAGAAAATCCTTTATGGAGATGAAAGAAAAAGAAGAGAGAGAGAGAGAGATGAGATTGTAAAATAAAAAAAAGATAAAAGAGTATTACGTACGTATCAGTGTTGCGTTTAAATAGAAAGCACCATTTCACTTCGTTGAGGTGATTGAGTATGTAATAGTACACAGCCGAATTCCGATTGGCCGAGAATCAGCGTGGGATCTCTCGTTCGCCCATATAGATCGTTTTTCTCAATCTACCTGGCAATCGTATCTGGACCGGTGATGCAGAATGAAAGCCACCTTTCTCGAAGTCTTCCTTTTTCAATTGACCATGCGAGTTTACTTTCTGATCGGTGTCGTTGCTCTCGTTACTGCATTGGACGATGTAAGTACGAATAATAATCATTTTTCGATTATCTCGTTACGTAAGTGTTACATCCTTATAATCGTATATTTTATTACAAATTTATTTACGTTTATTATTTTAACATTTTATTTCTAAAAATTCTTACAAGAAATTTATTTCAATTTTTGTTGTTGTACTCGTTTATATTTATGTAATAGATCATTTTTATTATATTTTTAGATAGTAATTTGAAATATATTTTTTTCTCGATCTGTTTTTTATTATATTATATTATAATAATTTAATGAGATATATATATATTTTATTGTTTGATTTTAATTGATCATCTTATATTCGACTGTTCTATATTCAATGATAGTTTCTTATTAAAATTTAATGAATTATTTATTATGTTAATGGTGTTAATAAATAAAAGCTAAATATTCGTGTTGTTTCGGGTCGAACGTTATCGATATAATGTGTTTAAGCTTTCGTGATTCTTATTTGAAAAAAATAAATAATTCGAACGTTCTTATTACCGAACACGCGAGAAAGTTTCACCGTGTTGAAATGAGATAGTAGTTCCAACGTTCGTTGTCCCTATTTTAAATATATAAATATCTCTTATAAATATTTGTTTAAAATGTTTTCTCAGGCTGAATATCAACAACAAAATTATGGTGATCGTATTGGACAAAACGGGGGTGGTGTGATCGATAAAATATTTAACGTGAGTAAATGTTATAAGATTCAAACGTTCGTGTTGTAATCTTTTCTTTTTTTTTTTTATTAACAAATATTAACAACTTATGCAAAATCTTTACAGATTCCAATTACGGCAGTAAAACAAACAGCATTAGTGGCGCAATCATTCACACCGGAAAATAAAGAAATGATCGATAACGTTTTTCAGGTCGAATATTACAAAATTTGGATATATCGATTTATAGAAATTAATTCGGTGCTGTGTAACAAGTGTCAAATGTATTCTTTAAAAGAGGGCACCAAATTAATTTCTACGCTTATCAATGGTATTTCAAAACTCGTCCCTGTCGTTTGAAAATTTTGCAGATTCCAATATCAACGTTGGAAGCTGTTGGTGATCTCGTTAAAACAACAACTGCACAAAGACGCGAAAACGCCGATGTAATTCAAAAAAGACGACAAGATAGGCGAGACAGATTGTCAATTCAACGAGAGGAACAAAAATTGAGGAGAGAACAAATACAAAATGAACGATTGCAAAGAAAAACATCGAGATATCCGAGACATCAAAAAGATCCTTGGGGATTGAATTCGTTGACGAAAATTTTCATTGACCATCATGGTATTCTTAATAAACCTAATCAAATATATTCTATATTTGGAAATTATCAAAGTTGGTTTGGTGGTGGGCATGGTAGTAATCATGGTAGTAATCATGGTAGTAATCATGGTGGTCATGGAGGAAGTCACGGAGGTATCAATTAAATAATAATGAATTCGTTTGAAAGTATTCAAACACATTCCAATCATTTATATATATTATCAAATATTTTTAATTTATATAACCGTTAAATATTTCGTTTATAGAATTGTTGTTTACGATAAAAAACGTTTTTTTATCGATAATATTTGTGCAATTCACAATAATCGTATCTATTTGACGTCATTCGTTAAAAGAGTATAATAATTATACATCTGTTTAACTGCCCGAGGCAGTGAAAGCGTGGGGTTAATGGATATAATTTTACAGGTTCGCATGGAATTATTAATGGTAGTGGTAATGGACAACATGGTTCTAACATGTATCAGGTACACGAACAAGTCGATGAAGGAAATCACCAATCGATTGGAACTTTCTTTGGACAATTTTCCTTGAATACGTCGAAAGATAAAATTCGTAACAAATTAGCACCGTCGAAGGAACAAAATTACGATCCAATATCGGATAGAAAGGACAGATCTAGATATGATCGATACGACGAACCACCATTGGAAAATAAAATTGCACCGCGTAATTCTAGAATTTCGTTCGTTTGAACAAAAAAAAAAATAATATTTCGATTATAATTTTATTATTTCATTTTTTTTTTTTTTTGTATTGTTTTGTTTTATTTTATTTTTAATTTTTCATTGATAGATTTCATTTACTTCCAAATACTCCGATCTCTAATCTTAATTTTTTATTTATAATGTGTTTACATACGTTGCGTAGAAAATAATCATTAGTTTTAATTCGCGTGTGCACATTCAATACTTTTATGATTACTGAAATATATTTGAATTATATCGAATTACGCGTTGGTATCAAAAGAAAAACGTAATTAAAATTCTCGCCTTAATACTTTCAAGAAAATTAATTAGAAAGTTCGTGTGTGTTGAACGTTTGTTATTACGATTACAATTCTCGATTTGCAATAATAGTGCATCAACTAATATGTTGCAATACGCGCATTACATTTTCCAAATATCCATTTATGATCCAACAAAAAAAAAACTAGTTCTAACGATACATTTAATTTACCGTCACTTTACATAGATGTTAATCTAATATTTATGAGGAAAATTGAATAAATAGATTGTGACTCAACATATTTGAAATATAATTTTTATGATGTATACCGTTTAAATGAAACGGCAAATAAGATAATAAAAATTGCGGGAATGTTGTATTTCCTATTTTTATAATTGCCTTAATGACTCCTAAAATAAAAAAATTTTCTGAAGTTATTATTTAAAAATACGTAAATACTCAAATTCATTAAGTCAAGTATTAGTCAATTTATTTTAGAATAGACTTTTTAAAATGAACAAAAATTATTTCAAATTATATGCAATAAGCAACCTATGTGTTTGTAATTTAAAAACAAAACAAAAAAAAAAAATATATATATATATATGCAACTAATTAATTCATAAATTAAAAAATAAACGTTTTAAATATAAAAATGAAACAAGAAAGGTTTCAAACATCCATACGTGATGATTCTCAAAATGATATCCAAAATTTTAGTAACACAATCTATCGATTCGTTTATCGATTGATTATCAATTCGTTTTCGTACATTTCGAAAGATATTTTGAAATAAAATTCGACTCACGTATTTCATACAAAGAAGAAGAGTCAGATAAAACCTTAAGGCATAATAAATTGTGATCGAACATCTCCGGAAATAGAAAACTCGATTTACTGGTCGTTCAACGAACGGTTACGTTCTAAGGTTCAAGAACATTGTCCTCTTTTTATCTCAGCAAACTTTTCTTTTTATTCTTTTTTTTTCTTTTTTACATTTCGTTACAAAGAATAAACCTTTTCACGTATTTTACACGTGTCTAGAATTTTTTTTCAATTGAAAAAGTTTGGTAAAGATAAAAAAGTAATTTTTACAGGCAACATAAATTATGTTTTATCTTTCGACACAATTTAAAAAAAAAAAAAAAGAGAGGAAAAAAGTATTACTCAACATTTTTTCGAAACTAAGAACTTTGCGTGGATGATGATGATGATGATGATGATGAAAAAAAAAAAATAATACGACAAATTTGTCCTGGCTCGGAAATTACTTTGAGAAAGATTCCGAACAACGTGTTTCACGTGAATGGAATAAATATTTTATTCGAGGAAGAATAAACCTCACCCAAAGTTCGTGTCTCGTTCACACAAAATTTCATGTGGTTTTTTTTTTTTTTTTTTTTTTTTTTTTTTTTGATATTCCTCGTTGACCACTTCTCCATATGCGAAGAACGTGAAACGCCAGAATGACGTTTTTTAATGCAACAATGTAATACATGTGTATAACTGGTTGCCATTCACCAGGTACCAGTTCAAATTCCAAATAAATATTTTCAGACATTCAACGATACTTGATATCGAACAAATGATTAAATAAATGTAATATTTAATATATATATATATATATATCTATAGCTGTATGTGTGTGTGTAATTATTATTATTAATATTATTTATTTAATTTGTAATGTAATTATGATTATATTTACATTATCATCTTATAAATTATTATTTTTTTAAATATATGGTAATAATTCTGATCGTAATCTTAACTATCACACACACACAGAAAAGTCATGGATTTTTATATTAAATTTTAAAGTTATTATTTGTAATAATATTAAATCTTCCGAGCGGAACGTACCGTTACTTTGACGAGTATTCATCTCTACGATCTCTTAGAATACTTTACGTAAGAATTTTTTTAGTTTGTTTGTTCTTTCTACAAGAATTGCAACGCGTGATAATTTGTCAGACGTCTATGCTTAAGAAGAATAATAATTACAGTTGTGTACACTCAAGGTAGTGAAAGTAAATAACAACAGAAACGATTTTACAATCGTACATGAAATTCTTGTCAATAATTAATATAGTTTGTACAATTATCGGATAAATGAGAAAATTTAAGAACTTACGAGCAACCAATGTCTTATACTTTGCAAAATAACTTGTAATATTTTTATAATTATAAACAATTTTCAAGGTAACATATACATTATGTAAAACACGTAAACACTTATTTTATAATTATGTAAATTTATGAAAATTCTTAGACATATATTATTAATGAATCTCATGTGTACGACTCTAACGAAGTATTTCGTTTTATTATAATTTTGTTAGCATAAGACGATCATCATTTAAAATTCCAAAGAGTATTTTAAACCGGTTGGATAAATATAATATATAAAAATGCAACGATGCGTTTTTGATTATGATGTTAAAAAAACGTGTACACAAATAATCTTTATCTTTCCATGAAATTTAACACGGCTACGTTAAATTACTTCTATATATATTATATATATATTAAAGATTTTTATCTACGAATTGAATAATAAATCTTTAAAATGAAAATTTTAATTACCATATGAATAAACATGTTTGTTAAATAAAAATACATAATAACGTTAGTTCCTCGTTAATATTACGTTGAAGATATTTGATTATATTAATTCGAAAGAAACAGAGTAAAAAATGGATGAAAAGATTCTAATTCTCATTCGTTCGATACGATTGAAGATCAAAAGTCATGTTGCATGAGTTCTCGAATGATTCATCGTGAGATCTTAGAAATCTGTGATTCTACAATCAAAGACTTTAATCGTCCTCGAGAATTTATTGTATATATCTTGTACAAATAAATTATATTTATTTCTTCTTGTTAATTCTAAACAACAACGACAATAAATAAATTAAAATAATCAAAGTTTCTTACTCGAGTTCTATGAACTTTAAAAAGTACAAGTACTTAATATGTAAAATAACTAATGCAAACGTGTATATATAAATGTAAATGATAAAAGACATCGAATAAACAAAGAAAGCTTTTTTTTCATGAATAAATCATGATTCAAAGTGTGTGGAATATTTTTCCACGATGAAAAATGACGAAAGTACAAAACAAAAAAAAATGGACGCGCGTAATATTCCAAACAACTATCAATAAACTAATCAATAAAATTCTATCGTTAGTATGAGTAGTAGTAAAATTTTATCGTCTGGGAAATATGCGTTACGCGTATTGTGTGTCATAGTTCGTATATTAGAAATAAGTTATTGTTATTTGGAAAGTTGTTGATTTGACGTAAGAGAGAATATTAATAATTAATGAAAAAACTAGTATGAACATTATAAATATCGAAAAAAAAACAATAAAAATTTTTATAAGAAATTTATATACCGAAACGAGATATGGTAAGAAACGTTTATGTTTGCGTTAGATAAAAATTTTCCCACAAAATTTTTTCTCACAGTTCCAAAGTCAATTTCCTTATCCAATAACCAAATCTTATTTCATTTACATTAGGAAAAAAATGACGATAATGTTGATGATTTTTGATATCGCGTATGTATTTATAGTCGATGTTTCTCCCTCTCCGATCGTTAATAGTTCCGTTTGCTTTTACAAAATCACAGTCGTTAGTTGGCAGCAGCCTCAGCAGGTTCATTATAATACAAGATGGCAAGAAGTATAGTGAGTGGTCGAAATGTTCTTTTAGTATTCAATCTCGTATTACTTTGTTTATTCGCCGATGCTGAAAAATACAAAGATATTATTCAAGAATCATCCGGTGGGGTAAGCAACATTTATTATTATAATATTTATTCAATAAACTTTCACGCGATATTATTTAGAAAATAATTATTATATTTACGTATATATACATCTTCCTTTATATATAATTCATTCGAAATATATAACAAATAATTAAATAATTTTGAATTAAATTATCAATCACACAATATTTGACAATCTTATTTCGCATAACTTCCGTGTCATAATAATTGATAAATATCGAAACGATAAGAATAAAAAAATTTGTACAAAATTTATACCTAAAACGAACTTTATTTATCATTCAATCATCCATTTGAGGAAACATTTAATTGCCTTATAATAGAAATAATGACTTGCACTAGTTCGAATATTTAGTCAGAAACTGTTAAGCCATTTAAAAAGAAACTAGTATCTAATCGTTTATACAATATCCGGGCTTAAAAAATATGTACGAAGAATGTCGAGCAATTTAAATATTCCCCTATCAAGTATATAATTCTTCAAAGATAATTATATTTCATAAATATAATTGTTTCCTCGAAAATGCATTTCGACCAATTATATTTCTAAAAATGTACAAAATAATAATATTATATTTATATATTTATATATATATAAAATATTATATATTATATATATATATTAAAAATCAATTAAATATATAAACGTATTGAATGTATTTACAGTTACCATTTTTACAATTCACGAATGACGGTGTACGTGTGAATTTTGCTGGATATCATGCCGAAGCTGGTCTGGGTGGTCTCCTGGGTAATTCCAAAACCGGTGGTGGTCTTCACGCGAGTGCTGGGACACCGTTTGGTCCACAAGCATCAGCTGGATTAGGTGGACTCCTTAGCGGTGATAATGCTAACACGGGTAAAACATTTATGCAAAATAATTTTGTCAAGAAAAAAGATGAAAATAAAAAAAAAAAAAAAAAAAAAAAAAAGGGATACATGGGTATTGTTGTCAGGTGGTGGGTTGTTTGCCCAAGCTGGCCTTGGAAATAATCGACCATCGGCAAGAGCAGGACTCGGGGGAATCTTAGATGGAAGTGGAAAATCAAATCATGCTGCAGCCGGTGGTCTATTCGCTGGTGCTGATCTTGGAAATAACCAACCAGGAGCCCAAGCTGGACTCGGGGGAGTCCTTGATGGAAATTCTAATACACCGAATGATAATAATGTACCAAATATTACTCCTACGAGTCATACGAACATACAAATTCTCTCTAAATCGGCAACGAGGGGTCACAAAAATCAAAGAGCGGTTAATATTTGATCTTATTTTTTTTCTCTCTCTCTCTCTCTCTTTCTCTTTCTCAACTAATTTGATCTCGTTTAAATAAAATATTACATAACATTACATTTGTAGATTGACACTAAATCAATTATAACAAACGAAGCCGTTCCTGAATCAAAATACGTAAGTATATACGCGAATTAATTGAATATTATTTATTATATGCTAACAATAATAATAATAATGAATGAATTTAATCTTCTACAAAATTATATGGAAATTTAAACGCTAATGCGAATAAGGATGACGTCAATGGTCAAAATGCAGTCGAAAATGTACAGAATATTCCAATTGTTCAGCCAGGTAATAATGATTTGGTATCTGCGAAAGGTGTTGCCGAAGCTGAGGCTAATGTAGATGCTGCTATTGGTAAGATGGATACGAATTTTAATTAAAATTGTTAATAGATTTTCGAACGAATTAGACTAATTAAATTATGTTACATCAGCTAACAATTATTGGGCATCGCAACAACAACCATTTATTAGTCGTTGGTACTTAAGAAAAATACTTCGTGGTAATCCATTCAGAAAACAAATGATACAGACGAGTTCGGTAATACCTGTTTCTGAATCTGAACTTGACACTTCATCGTCAACTGCATTCGATGCAGTTTCTGACAAATCATCTGAAGAAAAAATCGGTTATGCTGACAGTAACATCAATTATGATAGCTTCAAAAAATACAAACCTGAATTTGTCTACAATGACGATTTTAATGTAAGCTTATTGTTGCTTTCATTTGTTTTCATTTTTTTATTAGATCTGATACTTCGATATTGAAATGCGTTTGGTGTTTTCTTTCAGATACCAATTTCAACTTAATTGGCGGTTAATCAATTACTCAGAAATAATACCGGTTAAGGAAAAACAGCAGCATGATATCATTATTATTATTAATATTATATATATCATTTTTTTTTTAATTATTACTTTTTTTTATTGATATACTATTACGAATAATTTTCGTAAAGCAAGAATGAGACATGTATATGGGTGTGCATTCGTTTTTTTATTTTTATTATTATTATTATTATTATAATCCGCAGTATTCATTCGTCGATCGCTTTTTATTCAAAACAATGGATCCATTAAGTTAGATTGCTTTCGTACGAATTTTATGATCTAATACGATTAATTTTAATTTTTGTATACAGTATTCTTTAATATGTCCATTTACATATATATATATATATATAATAACAATTTTTCAACTATCTTTACTATTGTCGAATGTTTTAATTATTCATCGAATTTTGTAATTTCCTAGCAACACTCAATAAAAGCAATCGTTAATGGTATTTATTGTAAATATATTTATGCGAATTTTTCAAAACACAAATTGTTTCCTTATTGGCAGTAGAAGTTTGGCACAGCCAAAGTACTTACATGTATATACCAATATTTCATTACAAGCATATGTAACAAACAAAAAAATTCTACCCTGTGTTTGTTATATCATTAAAGATAATACGTTAAGCCAATAACAAGGACGAATAAATTAGCCGTATCGGTAAAGATGGCTACGAATATAGTAGAGAAAAACAATGTATTTACTTATTGTTAAACTAAGCAATTATTTTAATATATTTCCAATGTGATAAGCTACTAAGAGGGCATTTTAAATACCCGGAAGAAATCTTATAATTGGAGGATCTTTCGGTTTCGGTTCATTTTTACATAACGATTCGTTACGAACAGTTTGGAAATAGGAAACGGTGCTGAAAAAGTAGGAAGACCATATCAAAGATGGGAAAGTTCATCTATACGTTATTATTCATATTCATTTCGGTAAATCTCGTATTGGGTCTACCTCAGGGAAAGCCACCTTTGAGAGTCAGAAGGGTAAATATTGGAAAAATCAAATAATAATTTAAATATAAAGATGATCATACAATTTAAATCTATGACTTATATTTATAGAAATATATTTCACGTAAATCCTTTATATTTTATTCTAGTCAGCCGATGAGCAAGATAGCAACATTCAATCTAGTGGATCTGTTACAAATGCAATTCATGGTCTTTTTCCTTCTGTTTCTGTGGGACATAACCCTAGTAAAGGAGGGCATCTCATACATAAAGGGCATAAAGGTATAAACTTTCATATACCAATACCGATATTTGGGGGCTCCCATGATGAAAGTTCAGAGGAAAAAGGAAGCGATAGCTCAGGAGGATCAAGCTCCAGTGGAAATTCAGGAGGATCTAGCTCCGGTGGAAGTTCAGGAGGACATGGTTCCATTGGAATCTGGGGAGGATCTGGTTCGAGTGGAGGCTTAGG